AGGGTCCTTACCCTCCAGACATCTAGGAGGAGAAAATGTTCCTTGCCTCTTCCAGGCTGGAAACACAGATATACTCTCTCCTTGGATGTCTCATCTTGTGGCTAGTGACATTGCTTGGCTGTGTCCACACCACTTTGCTCTCTGCCTCTGTGGTCACACTGACTTCGCTCCTTTTTGTAAAACAATTATACCAAAATACAATTATCCTACTCTTTTATTAAAAACACTCGGGGGGCTGAGGCTGTAGCTCAGTGGCAGAGCGCTTGCCTTGCACACATAAGGTACTGGGTTCGATCCTCAGTACCACATAAAAATGAGATAAAAACAAAAATAAAGATATTGTGTCCATCTATAACTAAAAGATTTTAAATTTTATACACACACATATTTATGTATGTACGTATAAAAACAAAAAAAGACACTTGGGATTGCATTTAGGATCCATCTGGATAATCCAAGAAAGTCTCTCCACCTTCAGGCCCTTAACTTAAATCACTCTGAAAAGACCCCCTTTTCCATGTAAGATAACATGGTCATGGCTAGTGTTTAGGGAGGCAGATACACATACACACCACACACACACACACTTTATGCCTGGTTGGGCTCTAGGTAATTTAAGTGTATTAACTTATGTTCACAACAATCTATGAAATGTTTTCACTTTTTGGGTGGCAAAGTCAAGGCAGAGAAAAATCACAATAATTTGCCTAAGCTATATCATACTCACATGTTTTTGCCCACAAAGCAATTCATTAGAACAAGAAAATTTTAACTATTTTGAAATAAATTGATTTACAGTAAATTTGCAAACAGTACAAAGAATTCATACATACCTTCACCTAGATTCTCCAAATGTTAACATTTTACATTTGCTGTACCATTTCCTTTATATATAATTCACTGACTTCTTTTTCTCTCGAGATTCAGGTGCATATACAATGTTCCATTATCCCTAAATACTGCAGTGTGTATTTCCTAAAGGAAGACTTTTTCTTAAAACAATTATACCAAAATATAATTATCAAAACCTGAAAAATCAATATGACAGCATGCTTTTTTAACTTACAGATTTTACTCAATTTTCACCAATTGTTTTAAAAATGCCCCATTGAACAAAAGCTGGAAAAATTTCATCTGGATAAGAATCCACATCTTTTTAGTCTCATTTAACTTTAAACTTTTGACAAGCAGCGACTGATAACTCTGAGAGCATTCCTTGATTTAGCTTTATCTGGTATTTCTTACTGACTAGGTTCAGGTCATGCATTTTGGTCAGGAAGAGCACATCAGTGCTTCGTGTCTCCAGGGCATCTCATCAGGACACACAAACACACATCTGTCTTACTAATGGTGATATTAACATTTGTTTTTTAAAAATATTTTTTAGTAGCTATAGATGGATACAATACCTTTATTTTATTTATTTATCCTATGTGGTGCTGAGGATTGAGCTCAGGGCCTCATATGTGCTAGGCAAACACTCTACCACTGAGCTACAACCCCAGCCCAACGTTTGGTTCTTTAAAAAAAAAAAAAAAAAAAAAAAAAAAAAAAATATATATATATATATATATATATATATATATATATATAAAAGCCATAAGTTTTGCACACTTAAAACATTTTAAAATAATTCACAGGTCAGAGGAATCATCATGTTCATATTAGCAACTGAAAAACAATAAAATGTGTATCTGTGTATATACATACATTTATATTCACTCACATAATTGTGAGATGTAACAAAGGAGATAATTCAAATACATTTAGATACTTATTCAAGAAAAAAACATTGAACATCAATGAGTTAAATATCTAACTAATGAAATAAGAAAAAGTAAACAGAATAAACTATTAACAAGCAGCATATGAAAGAGAAGGACAGAGAATTAATCAATTCAAAATTTCATTCTTAAAAAAAATGGACAAACTTCTGGCCAATGGTCAAGAAAAAGAAAGACAACACAAATATCAGAAAAGGAAATATTAAGTACATATTCAGTAGAAGTTTAAATAAGACATTTATTTCCCTGAGCTACTTTATGCTAATACATTTATGTGTGTGTAATGAGTGACTACTTAGAATATTTTTCAAAATTGATTCAAGAAAAATTAGAAATCCTGAATAGTCTAATTATCATTAAAGAAACTGTCAGTAGTTAAAAGTCTCCTCACTAATAAATACTAGGACTAGATAGTTTTAGAAACTTTCAAAGAATAGGTCGTTCCATTTTTTTATAATTCTCAGAGTACAGTAAAATAGGCCATGCTTCCCAAATTATGTAATGAAGTAATTATAATCTTGACAATAAAACCAGACCAAAAAATGAGAAAGATTTCACAAATCTATTCACACAAACCCAAGTAAAATACAAGCAAACTAAATTCAGCCATGCAGAAAGATAATGGAATATGTTCAAGAATGTAAAACTGCTTCATTATTAAATGGTTATAACTAAAATATACTAAAGCAAGTCTATGAAACAAAATGCTCAGGAAACACATCACTTAGTGTGTATGTCAATGTGTGGGCTGGAAACACAGATATACCTACCTCCTTGGACATCTGCACTAGCTGGTTTGACTGAAAGGCTTCCCCAGGTAGCTGAAAAGCTCGCTCAAGACTTTCAAAGCCTGATCACTCATTCATGGCCACCACAAACAAGGCTTCTACCTCTGTCTCATCCACACTGCTTCCCCATCCTCCTTACCCTGCTTCATTTTACCCCGTAGCACACATAGTACTCAAAAAAATTTAATGAACAGTACATTTAGAAACTTTTGTAATGTGGAAGTTAAGCTTGCTTATATCCTTTCGGGATGGCCATTTGTATTATCCATTTGGTTTACTTTTTAATGACACGTAAAAGGAGAATGGACATAGTTGTAATACACCATTCACATTAAAAATTATTTGTGTCCATGCTAAATACAATATTATATTTCTAGATGCCTCCAAATATCTCCGTAGAAAAAATAATTATATTTCTATGTTAGTAAGCTTTACAATACTATGACAAAATGCTTAACAAAAACAAAAGAGGAAGAATTTATTTTGGCTCAGGGTTTCAGAGGTTTCACTTCATAGTTGGTTAGTTCCATTGCTTTGGTACTGAAGTGAGGCAGATAGCTAGGTGAGGGCCCTGGGTGAGGGTGGAGGAAAGCTGCTTATCTCATGGTGGCTAGAAAGCAGAGAAAGAGACAAGACAGAGTCTCCAAGGGCATGCCCTCAAGGATTCACTCCCTCCAACGAGGCTTCACCTCCTATAGTTTCTACCACGTTCCAATAGTCCTTTCACAGCTAGGAATCCCTCGATGGGCTAATTCACTGATGAGGTCACAGTCATCACGATCCAATCCTTTCCCCCAAACCCCACTCTGAACACTGTTGCATCAGGGACCAAGCCTTCATCATATGCATCTTTGGGGGGGGGGGGGAGGACACTTCATATTCAAACCATAACAACTTTCAATGAGGGAATTTAAATTGTCCATATCTACATGTTTTGCACAATGAAATGAGCAGTACAAATATGCTAAAGATATTAGAATACCACAAAGTAAAAAATTTTAAACTAAATTGTTTCCAACATACCGAAAAGCTTCAATCATTTGCTTTCACACTGGTAAACTACAGAGTAAAGCAACAGAATGCAGGATCACTGAAATCTCAGCTTACTTTTGGTGTAAATGGAGAAAAGAAATTATAGTACTAAAGCTCATTTCATTCCTATAAAATAATATCACAGTAAATCTTTTACACATTGAATCATATTCAGATTAACATTCACTATATAAAGTTCAGTTCTATTATTACACTTCAATGAAATAAGTAGCAAATGAGAACATATAATTCATCTTTTTAGGGCAAGACCATTTGAGAAAATGGAAGACTAACAATATCACTTCACAGTTACTTATTTATTCCAAGTGCTTGTGGGACTCACATTAGGGCAATCAGAATTGTACAAACCTTTGTTTTAAGATACTTTCTCTAATGCCAATTGAGATATATTTTGCATGTCTGTGCAAACTATTTTCTAACTGGGGTAACAGAAGAAGCATTTTGTATCTTGCAGTATACTGGTCTTGCCAACCAATTCCTCATGTATTTACCCCCAGGTCCTATCTTCCACCTTTCCACAAAAACAACCATGCCAATCAACCAATGTGTGAAAGCATATAAAATACTGTCCAGGTCATTGTGGTGTCACTATCTCTGTAATAAGAGGAGAGAGGGGGAAAAGGCAAAGGATGTGTTTTAAACTGAATAAAGCTACGTTTATTTAAGTGACTATCCTTTATTCTTGTATTATGTTCTTCCTACTTTTTGAGTGCTAAAATACCTTTTCTTTTCCATGATGATTCTGATATAATATGGTAATTTTTAATATTTATTTTTTAGTTGTAGTTGCACACAATACTTTTATTCTATTTATTTATTTTTATGTGGTGCTGAGATTGAACCCAGGACCTTGCGTGTGCTAGGTGAGTGCTCTACCTCTGAGCCACAACCCCAGCCCAGAAGATGGTAATTTGTGTGTGTGTTTTTTTTCCTTCTTTTTAAGTCCTGAACTGGCAAAATTAATAGCCAGAAACACTTAACCCAATTTAATTTTTTTTCTTTTCTTTTTACAAATTTACTGGTGCTTAAAACTAGGAGACACAGCCTAGATAAAGGCCCACCTTTCTGTGCTGCGTATTTCACAGTATTGAATTCTTCCTCGTGACATCCCTACAGATTTTGAAGCAGGATAAAAGTCAGTCTTATGTAAGCCAACATAAATATGATCTTAAGTTTCTAGAACAAAAAAATATGCTTTCATTCAACCCATGGTTATATCACCTTTTATTAAAGCTAATTGTATCAGTACTGTAGGGTTCCAGGGTTCCAATTTAACAAGTACAATGCCATTTCCATGATAGCCATTATTATTTAAGTAGTCTGTTTTCATACATGTGAGCAATATTGGTGCAGAGCGAAAACAAAGAAGGCTGGGGTCTGTGCAGGTCCTGAGTTGGGGTGTCAGTGGTACCATAGGGATGGTCAGCCTCAATGTACATTTTGGTCCATTTATCTTTTTTTTTTAATATACCTTTATTTTTTTAAACTTCGTTTTAAAAAAACTTATTTTGTATTAGTTCGAATCAGTTCTACATGACAGCAGAAAGCTTTTCGATTCATTGTACGCTATTTAGTTTTTTTTAATGTGGTGCTGGGGATCGAACCCAGTGACTCATGCGTACTAGGCAAGCACTCTACCACTGAGCCACAACCCCAGCCTTGGTCCACTTATCTTTATAATTCAATCATACTGCACAGTTTCAGTATTTACATTTGTGTAAACTGAGAAGAAATAACATGTTATAATAAAGCTTATTTTAGTGGGCTTTACGTGTCAGAAATAATTCCCTCTTTCATAATTATACTTTTTAGAAGGAATAGTTCCATATAAACATATAAATTGGTATATACATTTAGAAAACCTTATAGAGATCTATGTAAATTACAGTTTGGCCACCAATAAGCAAATTAATTCCCCATTTTTTCAAAATCATTACTGTCACCAATAAGCAAATTAATTAATCCCCATTCCGTCAAAGTGAGTAAAATTTTTAAAAAAAAGGAAAAAAAGAATTGCTAGTGATTATATTTTATGGTATGTTTTCAGAGAAAATATAATAATGATCACTGACTTTGGGGCCAGATGGAACAGATGGCTTTTATGTTTGTCATTCTGTGATTTGCTATAATCATGTTTTTTCCTATTAAATTGTTCTTGGTAATATGAGTCCTACATCCATTTTATATGAGTGTTTATATTAAACTTCAAAATTAGTTCTGGTGGAATCCAGAACATGTGTCGGGAACTTCTAAAAGCAACTTCTTTTTTCCTCCAAATCATGACAACATTTGGCTAGGTTAGCAATTGCTGCAATGACAACAACAGCTTCTGGGGACTGGTGGGTGCCCTGCAGCTAACGTGCACAGGCAGAAGCATCTGGCTGTGGGATGACGTTTAGTTCTTCTTGGCTTTCTTCAGATAGCGAGCCCTCAGGGACTTGTTGAGACCCATGGATATTTTAAGATAAATCCAAGAAGGCAGGATGGAGTTTATTGAGCCCTAGAGAAAGAAATGGGGGAGATATGTAATTATAGCATACAATCTGGGCTAACTGAAGCCGATGACCTGATGTTACTAAATTGTTATTTTACTTACAGGTAGATTTTTAAAGTTCTTGGGTGTACAGTTTAAAATAATGCACAGACGCCCTGTTAGATTAACAATATATACTATTTTGTGTCACTGTTTTGTGACTCAATGAGAAAGAAAAACCCAAAACCAGAAAGTACTGATGTGAGACTTAAAAATCAACATACCATAAGAGAATGGATCAGGTATCCATTGGTTCGGGACTGCAAGCCTACTGTTTTAATTGCAGATTTCACAAATGTCTCTGAAGAGGGCTTGTCCCAAGTTGGCTTTCGGATTTTAGCCAGTTTTGTAGCTACGTAGAATGGCAGGACACTCTAGAAAGACAAAACATGTCACTGATCAGAAGCCCACAAACTCAAAACTGACGTGATGCTTGACTGACAGCTGTAGAGAAAGAACAAAAGCAGCCATCTAAACACAGCCTGAGAGAACACATGAAGCATAAAACAAACTGTAGTAAGTCAATCTATGAATAAAATAGAATGAGACTGAGGAAAATATTAAAAAGAAATGGAAACACACTGTCTGGAACCTTTAAAAGAAAGGCATTGAGGCTGGGGTTGTGGCTCAGCGGTAGAGCACTCGCCTAATGTTGTGAGGCACTGGGTTCAATCCTCAGCACCACATAAAAATAAATAAATAAAAAATAAAGTCATTGTGTCTGTCTACAACTAAAGAAAAATATTTTTTAAAAAAAAGAAAGAAAAGGAAGGTATTGATAGCAATCCAGAGAGCGGAGACTGAGGGAGAGGATGATCTCACTGAAGAACACTGGTGTGCAGAACCAGTAAGTAAGAATTTTGACACTGTATCCTTCTAAAGAGATGGTACTCATTTCCCCCATAATTTATTATGAATTAAGCTTGCTCTATAAACTTTAGTCCTACAACAGATATTTCATTTTCTTAGCCTTAAACTATCACTTTTCTTCCCTAATTTCTTAGCATTCTGGTTCTGAGTTTTATAAACTTTGCTAGTGACAGGATAGGACTACTTCTTTTTAACTTTTTTTTTTTTGGAGGGGGGCGGCGGGGTGGGTGGGGATGAGGTGGTTGGAAAGACTGTATAAACAATGTGTAAACTGCTTGAGCAACAAAGACACCTGACAGGACAGATAGGGTTTGACAAAACTGAATGTGAGCTTTTAGAGGAATTTTATGAATGTCATTTATTGCTTATGCTTGGTACATTTTGGATGTGACTCAACATAGAATCCCATAACAGGAAACCCTATTACAACGAGTCCTGATTGTGACAAAAGAGGTTTCTTCTGTAATTTGAAATAACATGGGCATTGCAGTTCACCAAAGGTGAACGTATTCTGTCCAACTCGTGTGAAAGGAGAGGGTATAAATGGTATAAATCACCACGAGGCTTCTGTGAAAGAGGAGGATCCGTTCCAACAGGTGGTGGTCAAAATCAAAACTTCCACATTAGGAATGTAATTAAGGTCTGTTCCATTATGGGTTTCCTTCTTGCTGAGATCTGGAAGGAATGGTTCCCTGTCCCTTTGGCATTATGTATATATGCAGGCTTTGTCATTTTGTATTTTTCCCACCCCCGAGTATAAGTCAAAGAATACAGCCCACCACTCTTGGTATGTAACCTGAAACTTCAACCCAACAGAGTCTAGAACCCCAGGACTGGCCACTGTCACTCTCCCTCTTTCTCTTTCTTATCCCTGAAGCCACAAACCTACACCAAGTAAACTAATTTCACTAAGCACATGAGTATCTGATCCAACTTAAAATGATTGAGAATTTGGGTTTTTATGGAAATATCACTATCCATTTACCCCTCACTTAAGGAGTAAGTTTTTTGTTTTTGGTCAAAAAAGACTTTGATTTCAAAACCAAAGTTTTGTTGTGAGGATATAAGCACAGCCCAAAGAGTTATCACCGACTGACACCAAGTATAAAATGTGGAGTTCAATGGGTAAGTCAAGTTTGTTCACCAAGCAAAGCTGAGCACCCAAAAACCCCAGAAAATATGTTTATACTCTGATCTCAAATAATGAAGGAACATAAGCAAAACTTTTCTCATCTCTGTGTCTCTGATTTAGTGGTTATAAAAAAAAAAGTGAGGATTTGAAAAAACATTCCCACATATAGATCAAACCTGCTAAGATTCTGTTAAGTTCTGAGCCTCTTGAGATGCAGATGGTCTGGTAATTATACTTTTCAATTGCATTATAATTTCTGGTTCCTTTCTTCCATCCACCCTTCCTTCCTCTCCCCTTTAATATGCATATGGCATAAACTGGATTCTTGATCTTGTAAGAAAATTACACTGCATTGCCTGACTGAACCACTTGATGGTGCCACAAGTTAACTCATCACTCAGCTAAACTGTCGTAAGAGTCTAGAAAAGACCCTGGCTCTGGGGGGGAGGGGACAAGAGATGCACACAGGAATTCCAAGTCAACTGTTTTCCCAACTAAGAAATGCAAATTCTCTTCTGTAAAGAGTATTTACTTCCATAAGGGTTTAAAATCAAGGTGGTGCTTTTGCGCTAAGTCCTAAACAAAGTGGAGGCGCCTACCATATAAACAAATAGGGAGACATGAAAGAACATGATGTTCTCAGGGAACTAAGAAGTAGGTAATAAAGTTCAAACGCTGGCAATGTGTGAAGGAGGCAAAACAGCGGTGGAAAAAAAAAAAAAAAAACTACATCCAATCACCGGATGGTATCAAGTTCTAGAACACACCCTCCTCATTTGCCACTGTACTGTCAATGCTTAGAACAGCACCTGGTATACAGTAGGGGCACAATCAATACCTACTGAAAGAACTTGTCAAAAAACCCATTTCATATGGATAGCACTGAAGAGTAGTAGTATTTAGGGTCCTTTCTACTGCTATGGTCCATAAGATTATTACACCAGAAAGTTGATAATGAGAGTTTACACCAAAATTTTAAATACTGTGAAGATTAAGCCAGACGATCTATCTAAACAAAGGCAAAGACGCCTGCCTCAGCTTCCTGAGCTGCTGGGATTAGTGCACCACTGTGCCTGGCTCCATTTTTGTCCTTACTCAGGAAAACATCATGGGAAACAGGTCAAGAAGATACACATACTTTTATGGGAAGTGTTCTGGGCAGAAAAATTTTGAAGTTGTTTAAGCTCAACAGGTTGCTATACAAATTTTGCCAGCTCAGAAACAACCTGACCTTGACAGCAATAGATGCGGGCAAGTATCCTGATTTCCCAAATTTAGAATCTTAAACTGAAAATAACTGGTTAGGTCATAAAGCAAAAACTGTTAATGGCCTGTAATCCCAGTGGCTCAGGAGGCTGAGGCAGGAGGATCGCGAGTTCAAAGCCAGTCTCAGCAACAGCAAGGTGCCAAGCAACTCAGTGAGGCCCTGTCTCTAAATGAAATACAAAATAGGGCTGGGGATGTGGCTCAGTGGTTGAGTGCCCCTAAGTTCAATCCCTGGTACCCACTCCCCCAAAAATCATTTATTTATCTATCTATCTATCCCTGGAACAATTTGGTTATGGTTATCCCCCCCCCCCCCATCAAGTAGAATGCTTCGGTATCTGGTCTTTACAGGACAGTTGAGGGGTCTTGGTTCAGAGCAGGAAAGCTACTACAATTTAATGCCATGGAGCAGCAGGAAAGAGGATGCCCAAAGCTGCACGGCAGACACTCAAGAGCCAAATACGGAATTCTGGGACTTCCCACGGAGCATCTTTCATGTGCAGTCAACTGTGTACTAAATACACCTTCTCATATTTATAAATGATCACAGAACAATTCTTGGCAAGGGTCTGGGATAACATGGACAAGAGGACTCCAGGCCTCAGTCTATTTGCACAATATGGGATTCTAGACTTGGGGTCTAATTTGCTGTTTCTGGGAATTAAATTCACCAGTGTGGCCAGCACATTCCTAAGGCACAGGTTAGGCTCCTGTGAGATATATCAGGGGCACTTCACTTCCTTGAATTTGTGTATTCATCTTCTATTTCTGAAATCTTCAGAAAACCTGAATAATTGTACACAGACACTATAGTTCCGGAGTTTGTATTACTCCACTTGCAGACAATGAAATCAGCTTCCTTACAAAAGGGACCCTGAATATCTTATTGGTAGAAAACCTTAAATAGCCCAGAAAATGTTGGGAAAAAGGAATTGTTCTGAGGGTGCAGAGAGTTCTGGCTACATGGCAATAAAAAATAGGTACACATTTTGGCATTTAAGCTCAAAATAAAGGAATTCAACATATTATGATTTGCACAAAGAAAACCCTTGACCAATGCTGGCTAATAATTCTACAAGTGACCTGTCTCCAAACGTGGAATTTATATGTCAACATTCAAAGAATGAAAGGAAAAATGGTGTAATTGTAAAACAGGCATTCATTTAACAATACTGATTTCCTGAGCACATAGAACGATATTTAGGCACTAGGAACATAAATGTGCACAAAACAGTCCCTAATCTTACAGAGCTTATGTTTAGTAGGGGGACACTGGTATAGGATATAGGTAGTGGAGGCTGTTTCTACAGTTAGATAAATCAACAAAGGCCTCTCCCATGGGTGACACGATCTGAAAGAAGGGAGGGAAGCCAGCCCAAAGCCTTTTAGACTGAGGGGGAACAGCTAGTGCAAAGGCCCTGAGGTGAGTGTGTGCTCAGAGCATTTCGGGAACTGCAAGGAGAACAGAGATGTAGTGGGAGGGTAGGCTGTAAGATAATGTGGAAGTTTGAAATGAGAACACTGTAGCTGTGAGCAGACTGCAGGGGCTTCAGGCAAGCATGGGGACAGGAACAGGGAGGCCAGACTGGGAGCATCCTGCACCAGCATCCTGGGTAAGATAGTGGCTCAGGTCAGAGCGGGAGCAGTGGAGGTCATGAGAAGTGGTCAGAAGGTGGGTATGTTTCAAGGATAAACTAAAGTCGTAGGGCTTCCTTATGGATTGAACTTGGGAGGTGAGAGAAAGAGGCAGTGGAGTGGCGGAGGAGGTGGCTGGGGGCGGAGATCAGCATTAGATGAAATCAGAGTGACTTGGATTTAAATTCCATCTTGACCACTTAAAGTATTTGGCTGAATCTTCACATCCTGTAAGAGGTGCAAGAATATCATTTTCCACAGAGAATATCTGACTGCTGGGGTAACTATCTGGTTATCTTCCCTCTGGACACAGAGTTAGTGGTTTGGAGGGACTGAGTAGGTTAATAGAGCTTGTGGTGCAACACTGTCGTAAAAGGCCAAGAAAAATAGATGGATATCATCCCTGACACGTGGAGACTCACCTCGTTGGAGTCCCATTATTCCAGTTGATCTAATCTTGCTATTCTGAAG